CCCGGGGCGGGGGGGGGGCCCCTCCTGGGGGGCCCCCGCCGCTGTCAGGGCCCCCTGAGTGGTCATTAAGGGACAAATAAATGGAAATAAAATAGAAAAAGGGTTTGGAAAGAAAGAGACAAGAGCAGCAAGGCAGAAAGGAAGAGCCGGCGGCCTCATTGTGCTGCTGGGTGTGGGGCCCGGTGAGGTGCTGCTGCTGCTGCAGGCTCGCGCGCGGCGCCAGGGGCCTCTGGCAGCGAGAATTGAAGTTATATTTGAATTTAAATTCCAATTTCTTCTTTTTATTTCCAATTTTTAGTTTTAAATTCGAAGAAATGGCGGAGGAGGCGCTGCAAGCCGCCGCCGTGCTCGAGTGTACAGCCAGCTCGTCGGGTGTACAGCCAGCTCGCGAGCAGCGCCAACCTGTCTTTGCTGCTGCTCTTTTGCTGCGCTGCTGCTGCTGCTGCTGCTGTTTCTGCTGCTGTTGCTGCTGCTGCTGCTGCTGCTGCTGTTTCTGCTGCTGTTGCTGCTGCTGCTGCTGCTGGCGCCACCCCCTGCTGCTGGCTCGAGACCGGGCCCCACAGACTCTTTGGCAGCAGCAAACAAAGACAAAACCCCTTGAAATGGTATTTATTTTCTTTTAAATATATTTAAAAAAGAAAAAGACACAAAATGACTGCAGCAGCAAACAGAAAGAGACGCGGGAAGCCCCTGCGCCGCCGTGGGCCCGAAGAGGCCTCTGTGGGCGCGGACGGGCCCGCGGCCGCAAACCCTAAACCCTAAACCCTCAGCCCTAAACCCTCGCCTACAAACCCTAATTTAGGGTTTTCAGTAACCCTCTTCAATGTCTTCGGCTTTTTTTGCGGACCTTTCACACTAGAGACTGGCCCAGGGCCTGTAGACACCAGGCCTCGTGGGCCGGGCCGCCTTTCCATCCCTTGCTGCTGCTGCTGCTGCTCCTGCTGCTGCTGCTGCCGCTGCTGCTGCTGCTGCTGCTGCCGTGTCTCACCAGCTCTTGAGGAGACATAAACTTTTGGCGGTTTTTCAAATCGGACTTATCTTGAATTTCCATTCCCACTCCTTGTTCGCTGCAGCAGACAAATTTATTTATTTATTTATTTATTTTAATTAATTAATTAATTAATTTAATTAAATTAATTAACTAATTAATTAATTAATTAATTAATTAATTAATTTATTTATTTATTTTATTTGTCTAAAGGTTTCTCTTTCAGTCCTTTTCTTTTCACGCCGCGATTTGCTGCTTGCTGTGCTGCCCCATGCCTCTTCAAACCCTAAACCCTAAACCCTAGACCCTAAACCCTAAACCCTGAACCCTAAACCCTGAACCCTAAACCCTAAACCCTAAAGCCTGGATCCTCAACCCTAAAGCCTTAACCCTTAACGGTAACCGAAAAATCCTAAGTCCTACACCCAAAACCCTAACCCCAGAAGCTAAAACCCCAAAGCGCAGGCCCCAAACCTCAAGCCCTAAACCCTAAACCCTAAACCCTAAACCCTAAACCCTAAACCCTAAACCCTAAACCCTAAACCCTAAACCCTAAACTCACAGCGCGAAGACCTCCGGGTCTTCTTGCCTGTCCGTCGTGGCCTTATACATGTTCGTATAGAGCAGCTTGGCATCATATTTGGGATCTGCAGCATCCAAACCACAAACCCTAAACCCTAAACCCTAAACTCTAAACCCTAAACCCTAAACCCTAAACCCTAAATGCAAGTTCAGCAAGGGGGCCTCACCTTTCTCCCGCAGATCCTGTAGCTGCGACAGGCCTGCGAGGCGCAACACTCAAAGCCCAAACCCCAAACCCTAAACCCTAAACCCTAAACCCTAAACCCTAAACCCTAAACCCTAAACGCTAAACCCTCGTCGCCGGCTGCGCTCCATCCCCTTGCCCTTACAAAGTTTTCGACTTGAAGAGCCACGCAGTAACAGCCCCGTTGCTCCTCTTCATCTGCAGGACACAAAAAAGGGGTTTAGCGTTTAGGGTTTAGGGTTTAGGGTTTAGGGTTTGGCCACTCCAAGCTGCTTATTCCTTTTTCTCACCCTCGGGTCTCTTTTATAAAGCTCCAGCACATAATCTTGCATGTCTTCTAGCCTGAGCCCGGCAGACACCCGTGCAAACCCTAAACCCTAAACCCTAAACCCTAAACCCTAAACCCTAAACCCTAAACCCCAAACCCCAAACTCCACTGCTTCTATTTGCCCTGGAAGGCGTGTGGGGGTTCCCGCATTTCCGAGCGAAGCCGCGCGGCCGGCACTCAAGCCCCAAAAGAACGCCTAGGGTTTAGGGTTTAGGGTTTAGGGTTTAGGGTTTAGGGTTTGCGCACGTCTTAAACCCTAGAAAGCAAGGAGGAACTCCCTCCTTTTCACTCGGAGTCACATTAAAAGCAGCAAACTCCGTCAAGTCCCCAAACCTCCTCACAAACAACCCCACAACCCTCGCCGCCTGCAGCACCCCATAAACAGCCACCCCGGGGGCCCCCCCGGGGGCCCCTGGGA